CTCTAATAGGACGCTCAAAACAACAGTGTTCAGAAAGAAGTATTATGCTGGGATAATAGTCAATTTTCGGTCCCATCACAATTATACACTAAAGATAGGGATGATTAGGAGCATGATCATCTGAAGCCTACGCTTAGCGGATGTAGAATTCTGGGACGAGGAGCTGGACAAATTGACTAGGATATTCCTCTGCAATGGCTACCTAAGTAAAATAATACAAAGAAGCATACGGGCCGTGAAAAGCAGATGACAGAACGGGAACTATGAAAGAACAGTAAGGACGATGAAGGATTGACAAAAGTGGATATGCCTACCTTCCTGCGAACTAACTCAAAAACTACGGCAAATATTGAGCAAATATAATATTCGGATGGCCATGAAAGAAAAATCAACACTTGTTACAAGTCCACCGGCGCAACATGAAAGGGTAGACAAAATGGATTGTTCAGAAGCTTAATGTATATTAAGCGGCGCGTGCAAACAGAAATATATTGGCAATAGAGGGAGAAAAAGTAGCATACGAATCAAGGAACATCAATGGCTCTGCAATAAAATGGATACCGAAAGATCAGAACTAGCGGAACACATCGCACAGACTGGACACGAGATCACGTTGAAGGCAACATATGGTGACAACACAAGGAAGCGCAAGATTAGGGAGGCCATTTCCATCATTGGGGAGAAAAATAAAATGAACATGAGATTGAAGGAAGGTAGAGTAGGAGATTGGAAGAGGGAAAAGTCAGCGATAATTTCGCGGACTGCCTGAGCAGACTTAGAAATTCAACGAATACATAAAAAAGGCGACGCTTGGACCAAGGACAAATGTTCAACAACAGAAAGAGGCTCATGAGGAACAAAGGGAAAGTCAGGAAAAGGAGATTGCAGTAAGACGAGTCAGACGAGGAATTGGCCAGAGAATTTATCCAGGGGATTTACCTGTAAGATGTAGTATATGAAATTAAAGGCTATAGAAGTAGATTGATCTTCTTTTAGCAACTTGGTCATATTTGTAGAAACTTAGATGAAAGCACTTGGTCAGGATTCCATTGTATGCATGATAATTTTTAGTCGGACAGTAGATGTGATACATACCCAAAAGTTAAATTGGCATCGTCAGTGAGTCTTGCTTTTCTTAGCACCACACTACCGCTCGTCAAAGAGACAAGTAAAGTCGACCCTTTGACCAATTTTTTGCTAAACAATCGTAGTATCTCTTCTTCCTCCCTGCGCTAATCACAAGTCATATATCCTCGTATCACGCCTTCACTATCACAATAGTCTGCTTGCTTATTCAAATGTGGTATTGTGTGCCCTTTTGAGCGGCCTTCATGAGAACTCTTCACACTCCATAGGGCTATTATCCTCCTCACTCCCCTTCATTCTTATGCTGGGGACGTTGATCAGTCTGCCATATAGTTACGCAGTCCTCCTTCTCTAGGTCTTATCAGAATCTCTCTCTTGCCCTGAAGGATCGGTCTTCTATCTCTCTGGTTCAAGTATTTCACTCGACTCAGGCCACCACATCTGTGCTGCACGAGATATACTTTTCACACTCTGCGTCAAGGAGACCAACTCAAGGCTAAAGCCCCTGAGCAATTGTCATGGTCAATCCTTTGCTTCATGGACCAAGTGGTAAAACAGGCCTACTGTCAATAAACTAGCTCCATTCACCTCCGCGTCTATTCTCTTTCTATCCCTAATACCATTTCTATGACGTCCTATGCTCTATTCTCTTGTGGGCCAACTCACAAATGTTGTGCTTCTACATTTAACCTAATCAAAGCAAGTAGTTTGGTGCTAAAATTGGCAATGCGCCCTGACGATGCTGATGAAACGTCTATGAATGTAACATGTCCACGGTCCGACTTTGGAAATGATTATGCATACTATGGACTCCGGACTAGGTGTGTTCCTCTAAGTCTTCCTTCAAATATGTCCAAGTTGCTAAAACAAGGTCAAACAACTTCTATACAACGAAAGGAGCTGCCATCATACAAAAGGCCACATCATCTTGGTCATCATACCTTCGAGTGATTTTGATGTTTAGCAGAGGTCAATTGTTAAGCGGGTAGGAAAAAAGTGAGGCAGAAATTAAGTCAGGAGCCCTGTAAGCGGCATCTGGTACCGGTAGTGGAGACGATTACGCTTTACTAAACCCACTTGTAGCGACACACACTTAGGCGGCATTGGAGGAAATTAGAGCACAGAATTGTGTGAATAAGTGGATAGGCCATATAAAGTAGGGTTGAAAGAGTGAGGCACTATAAGATCGAACATAGAATAGAAGCGAGGAGTTATGCCACAACGGATGAACATAAAATTCGTCAAGGGAATTGCCTTCACATGTCACTTTGATAAGTTGTAACTCTGCGTCTACGAGGGAGCTTCTCACTGATGATGCCGGCGAAACGTTTTGGAATGTACCCAGCCAATGGTATAATGCTGGAAATCACGGATATTATGGTAGAGGACACGGGACTAAATACGTTCCTCAAGGCCTCCCTGACGCTCCGGCCAAGTTGCGAAAAAGAGATCGAACAGACACTATAAAACTAAAGGAGACTACGACCAAATAGAAGGCCACACCATCTTGACTAATATTTGTAAAAAAATGTTTAAAATCGAGCAAGATCAAATAAAAACTTAATCACTAGCAGAGAATGGTAGAAAAATAGAGGTTAAACTTGGACTATTTAACAATAATATAGGACTGAATCATCTTCTAAAAGTCCTTATACTTACCACAACATCCAACAGATCGTTTCGTGACATAAATTTCCCGGAACGGAGTATGCTCTCGGGCTGAGGGTAGGTTACGAGACAGGTTTTCAATAAATCGATGGCCTTCTGGTCAAACACAATTGCCTTGCGTCTCCAAGCCGCCAAATGCCTTGAATCCTCTTTGCTTGGTTGCCGTGCCATAGCAGCGGCCTCTGTGGTGAAAAGATCGGTGCCCGGAGGAATACCTGTTGCGATCTTAGCAGCCGTCGAGTAGCAGTTCGGAGTCAAAATGCAGTCAATTTTCCAGAGGATGGAAGTGGGGAGGAGGAGATCAACGCATAAATTAGCAACAAAGTGTAAAAACCTAAAGAGTAGACGTTAATTCGGCGTGTCGAGCTTAGACACTGCACTGACATGGTTCGACTCCTGCTTGGGGTGTTGATAACACCTACGCAAAATCGAAACTGTAATCCACCCTGGATGAGAACAGCTTTTGGGAAAGCAAGGCTATGTGAAAATCAATGGAAAGCATCAGCTCTACTTATATCATAGTGGGAAAAATCAACTACCAGTCCTACACCACTTTAAACGAAATAGGAGGAACACAACTCATATATTAAATCGGGTGTCCATAAAATGCTGAATAGAGTTTGGCATATGGTCATATGAATCAGCGCCGATTAGGGCAAATGTAACTGAGACGAAAGGGTTTATGGATTATGATTTGAATCAAAAGGTCGAATAGAAGATTATGAATCGGAAACATGTTAACCAAATAAACACATTTATTATATCTTTGTTTCCTGTAACTTGGCCTTAAACTAGCCACGCTGTATTTTCAGCAGGAAGACACGGAACAAAAGAATAAGGACACAATAGAAGGTAGGCTATCAGTAGAGCTTAAATAAGGGTTCTAGCCATCTGAAATGTAATCACTCTATTTCGTTTAAGATGATTAAGAGCAATTAATCTATTTTTACCACAAAGATATAAGTAGATCTGAAGCTTCCATTGAATTTCACATAACCTTGCTTTCCCAAAATGTGTTCTCAGCCAAGCTGAAGTGGACTGCAGTTTCAACCTCACCTAGGTCTTATCAACACCTCCAGCGGGACTCTAGCCATGAAAATGCAGCGCGTAACCTCGAGAAGTTAACCACTAAGCCACATTGTCACTAGTGCCATTGGAGCACAGGGCAGATATTAATATATCTCATATAACTGATTTATTGGTAGTCTCGAAACCCTACATATAATTGAAAAATAAGAGTTCTAACCTTTACAATTCGCATAAGGTGATGAAGGACTGATAGTTCAATTTTATTATTGTCACATGAGAAAGCCTCGCAATGCTAATTAATTTTACTGAGTATTGTCTCCAAAAAGCTATTCTCATTCCGACTGGACTGGATGGCAACTTCAACTTCACCTAGGGCACATCACTACCCAAAACAGGAATCGAAATGGAGTATTACAGCGTATAAGTTTGACACACTACCACTACGTCGCGTTGCCACGAGAGCTCGTGGGTCAGGGCTCGATTCCTATTGAGGGTGGGGACGATATCCAGGTGAGGTCAAACCTGCAGTCCACTCTTGAGGAGAATACCCTTTGGAAAGCAAAATAAAATAGAGGTTGTTTAACCTTGTTTTCGCAACACGGTCATATTGGTAGGAAGACTTAGAGGAGCGCACCTAGTCCGGACTTCATTGTCTGCATGATCGTTTCCAAAGTTGAACCGTGGACGTGGTACATTCCCAAACGTTTCGCCGGCATCCTCGGTGAGTATCGACATTCTTAGCACCATACAACAATTCGTCAGAGGCAAGATGAAGAGTTATTGTATGGTGCTAAGAATGTCGATACTCACTGAGAATGCCGGCGAAACGTTTGTGAATGTACCACGTCCACGGTTTAACTTTGGAAACGATCATGCAGACAATGAAGTCCGGACTAGGTGCGTTCCTCTAAGTCTTCCTACCAATATGACCGTGTTGCGAAAACAAGGTCAAACAACCTCTATACAATTAAAGGAGACTGCGACCACACCATCTTAGTCTTCATACCTTCGAAAACAAAACAAAATTTGAGGGCAATGTGAGGCCCACTTATAGCACTATGGGAAGATTTAACTATCAATCCTTAATCACCTTATGCAACCTAAATTAAGTAGAACTCTTACACAAGAGAGCATGATATCGAAGTAGCCAAGGCTTTATCTGAAGCTCTTTGAGACACCAGCCCAAGCCTGTCCTTCACAAGCAATTGTACGTAAACTTATGGTCATCTCTGTATTTTAAATTATTAAAGAATGATCACCCGTTCTTATAGGAACTGAAATGATCTTGCATGGAAATATAAATAAATACCACCTACCTCAATTGCTTTCTCTTTGCAGTCTCGCAACTGGGAATTTATCAGTGCAGAATTGAAGAGAAGCCGTCTCATCACGTCAAGATAATGTTGTATGCTCAACCTGGAGACCATTTCATTTATGATGTCTAAACAACGCTTGTACAGGCAGGCCTAATGAAATTGAAATGTTTGGCTATATTAACTGAAAAGTGCCAATATGAATAATAACCTCCATATTAATAGTAAGGAGATCAATTTAAAATTTAAAATAAACAATAATAACCCATTTATGTTATGAAGGCCGGACCCACGCCAGAAACCTCTACAGATCTAGAGTAGATGAATCACATATTAGCGCATTATAATCATCAAAATTAATTAGTGTTTAACCAACGTTCATAGATTTAAATAAATTCAATTTAGTATTTGTCAATTGGCTTTTCAGGAAGAGGCAGTTTTAACTCATATCAGCCTCAAAAGCCCTCTCTGTCGTATTCGAAACCAGGACGCTTTAGTACCTAAACTCTAAAACAATCTAAATGGATGATTTCGACATTGAGTATTTTAATGAGTATAGTGTTAGGCAATTAAAATTGATTCGTCCACTTCACGAAAATAATATTCGCTATTTGCCATAGGTTATCTTTTTATATTTATCACAAACATCCGTTCTCAAGCAGGAAGGACTATAATTAAGGGGGTTGTTTGACCTTGTTTTCGCAACTTGGTCATATTGGGAGGAAGACCTAGAGGAATACACCTTGTTCGGAGTTCATAGTATGCATGATAATGTCCAGAGTCGAACTGTGGACGTGGTACATTCACAGACGTTTCGCCGGCATCGTCAGTCAGTCTTTCCATTCTTAGCACCACAATACAACTCGTCAGAGACAAGTCAGACCGATCCTTGGACCAATTGTCTTCTAAACAATCGTGGTATGTCTCCTTCCGCCCTGGCTAATCAATAATCCTATATCCTCGTATCAAGCCTTCAACATCACAATTTTTCCTTGCTTATATAAATTCCCTTTTGATTGGCTTTCATTAGAACCCTCAACACTCTACGCTGGCGTTCTCACCCCCCTTTACCCTTGTGCTAGGAATGTTGATCAGAGTCTGCCCTATTGTTACGCCGTCCTCCTTCCATAGGTCTTAGCAGAGTCTCCCTCTTGCAGTGTAGGATCCGTCTGCTATCTCCCTGGTTCAAGTATTTCGCTCGACCCCTGCACCCCATCTCTGCTACTCGAGACGTTATTACCCATTTCCTGCGTCCGGGTGACTAATTCGAGGTTAAAGCCTCTGAGTAAGTCTCATGCTAAAGCCTTTGCTTCAGAAACCACGTCTCTGGTAAAACAGGCCTACTGTCAGCCAACTAGCTCTAGTCTCCGCCGCGTCTATCCTGTTTCTATCCATAATACCAAGTCTATTACTTCCTATGCCCTAGGCTCTTGTGAGTCAAACCATAAATTTTGCGGTTTAACTTTGAACCTAATCAAAGCAAGCAATACGACAACATTTGTGAGTTTGCACACAAAAGACTAAGGATAGAAAAAGGATAGACGCGGCGGAGGCTGGAGCTAGTTGGCTGACAGTAGGTGCTACCATAGACGTGGTCCATGTAGCAATGGCTTGACCATGAGACTTACTCAGAGATTTGAGCCTCGAATTAGTCACCCAGACAGAGGGGAAAGGTAATAACGTCTCGAGTGGCACAGATGGGGTGGTAGGGGTCGAGTGAAATACTGGAACCTG